CCTGTAGCGAATCGATGCGTTTTTGTAAGAAAAATATCCATATTCAAAACGTAATAATCACTTGAATCTAGCTTGCGCCAGCAGTTGTACACAGAAGCAGTTCCGGGGGAATGACGTATGAGGTCAGCTTTGCACATGCGCCGCTCAGAAGTGACGCACGCGGAGAGATCGAAACAAAACAACGGTGACTAATTAGAAGTACAAAACGAGGATTTGTAAAGAAGAATGTCGGAGGATTTCGATATAAGCCAAGAGGAGACTGGTTTTCCTTTGCTAAAGTAAGGAAACTTTGCTTCTTTTGATCCTGTAAACAAACGTTGGTTTTCACGAGACGCACCGGCGCATGATAAATATTTGAGGAATATATGATTCTTTTTCTTTGATATTTTATTTGGGTTGCCCAGTAATCATAATTATACTATGGTATGGTTTATAGTTTATTTTTTTCTGTGGACCACAAAAGAAGAAGTCAATGGGGTCCAATGTTGTTTGAAGCACCAGTGACTGTTATAAATATCTTCAGTAACACTTTATTTTAAGGTGTGCTTGTTACAGTGTTATTATACATTTAAGTACTGAGTAATATAAATTAACTACATGTACTTAATATATGGTTAGGGTTAGGGTTCGGCTTAGGGTTACTTGCATGTAATTATGCATAATTTATTGTTATTATAATAGTAAGTAAATGTAACGTGCAACAACAAGGACACCTTAAAATAAAGTGTTACCAAAAACTCAAAAGTAAAACAGGTTAATGAAGAGTTTTTTTTGTGTGAAAAATGTGCTTGATTTTCATGAAAATAATGCCAGAATTTTTTTTTTTTGGTGTGTGTTTAGTAAAATATGATCCATTCATGTTGTGTTATCTTATTTTATTTTTCCGCAGGCTCTTTCAATGGGAATGGTGACGGAATACTATCATTACATCTTTACAACTCTGGTGAGAGACACACACTCACACACAGTGCATGTGTGTATTTTTGATCAAATAAATGAAGCCTTCACATGTCATGATAAGCGTGTGTTCGTCCACAGGACCTGTTTGCTCTGGATATGGAGCCGTATCGCTTCAGCGGAGTGAATATGACCGGTTTCCGCATCTTGAACACGGAGAGTCCGCAGGTGTCATCCATCATCGAGAAATGGTCAATGGAGCGACTGCAGGCTCCGCCCAAACCTGACTCGGGCCTGCTGGACGGATTCATGACGGTGTGTGTGTGTGTGTGTGCGTGAGAGAGAGAGAGAGTGTGTGTGTGTGTGTGTGTGAGAGAGAGAGAGAGAGAGAGAGAGAGAGAGAGAGAGCGTG